GGAGGCTGAGACAAGAGAATTGCTTGAGCCCAAGAGTTAGAGATGTGACACCAGCGCACTCTACCGAAGGTGACAAGTCAGATTCTGTCTCAAGAAAAAAAAGACTTCTGTTTACATACTTCCTTTGAAAATACCATTTTCCTGTATATACCTCAGCCAAGTATGTATTACTGTTATACAATTTTAGCCAATTATTATAGTTTAATTCATTCCTTTTTTATTTTAGGGAGATTTTTAACATGTACAGAAATAGAAGGTATAATGGCCCCCCACTTGTCTCCCAGCTTCAACAGCCTTAGCATTCTGCTATTCTTGTTTCATCTTTACCACTCCCCATACAGTTGCCCTTTTTTCTTCCCTAGAGTATTTTGTTTCATTTATTTATTTATATATTTCGAAACAGAGTCTCTGAATAGCACCATCATAGCTCCAGCAATCTCAAACTCCATGGGGAGTCCATGGCACCTTCATAGCTCACAGCAATCTCAAACTCCTGGACTCAAGCAATCCTCTTGCCTCAGCCTCCTGAATAGCTGGGCTACAGGTTTCCACCATAACACTTAGCTATTTACTAGAGTATTTTAGACAAAATTGCATATGTTCTTTTACCTATGTGTGCATCTCTAAAAGAATTTTTTTTTTTTTTTGAGACAGAGTCTCAAGCTGTCGCCCTGGGTAGAGTGTCGTGACATCACAGCAACCTCCAACTCTTGGGCTTAAGCTTAGAGTCTCAAGCTGTTGCCCTGGGTAGAGTGCCGTGGCATCACAGCAACCTCCAATTAGCTTAAGCTATTCTTTTGCCTCAGCTTCCCAAGTTGCTGGGACTACAGGTGCCTGCCACAACGCCCACCTATTTTGGGGGCGTTGTAGGTATCATTGTTGTTTGGTGGACCTGGGCCGGACTCAAACCCGCCAGCTCCAGTATATGTGGCTGGCACCCTAGCCACTTAAGCAGCAAGGCACCGAGTCAAAAGTAAGAATTTTTTAACAAAATCATAAAATTAGCCATTACTCCTTTATTGCTTAATACCCAGATCTTCAGTTTTGTTCTTTTTTTTGAGACAGAGTCTCACTATGACATCCTCAGTAGAG